CACAAAAAAAAAAAAAAGTTTTGCGTAGGATTTATTTGCTGCGCGAAGCTTACTAGACTTGGTTGTCAGAAGAAGAAACAATGCTTTTGGCGTTTTAAACGTGTACGCCTTAATAATATAACATAAAGCTAGTCTAAGACACATATCTTAATTCAACACATGAAGGGGAAAACTACAGCGTGTTTCAAATAGCTGCCAGGCTCTTTAAATCGAATGAAAAAAAATCGGTTTCTTAACTTATCACGCTACGATTTTGTGCAGCGTTGCCCACAGGGGGTGCATTTTTCTATTAAATTTGCTAAGAGCGAGCTTACCTGAGGAAAAAGTAAAAAAATTAAAAGGCTTAGCTCCCATGGAAACGCAGCGAAGCCACCGGTCTTCAAACAGTAGTGCACCCCATTGTTTGAAGACAGGTGTCTTCGCTATGTTTCCATAAAAGCTAAGCCTTTTTCTTTATTTTTTTTATTTTTTTTTTACTTTTTCCTTATTTAAGTTCGCTCTTAGCAAATTTTATAGAAAAATGCACCACGTTTGGGCGACGCTGCACCAAATTGTAGCGCGATAGGTTAAGAAACCGATTTTCGCGGTCGATTTAAAGAGCCTGGCCACTAGTGGAAACACTCTGTAGTTTCCAAAAGCGGAACATTAGTGCAGGGTTTACAACTCTGTAAATTGTTCGGCGAAGTGCCGGACTTTTTCTTTTTAACTACGGTCCTTAAGGTGATGACGAGTATAGAATAGAATAGAATCAAATATAATAGCTTTTTGTAACAGATTTTTTTTAATACAACAATGAGAATAATGACACACTACCGATACGAATGTTAGATGCGTCAAAAACTTCCATTTTCAGCCAGGAATTCAATCTACACTGTGTATTTTTAGCTTTCCAGACCTTCCTTTTAAGTCTTCGAGACAGTCTGAAAGCCACATTTCAAGCTGACTTCAAGCAAGCCGATAAAAACAGCTGAGATGACGAATCCGTCGTAGTCGTTCACGCATCTTAGGCAATCAGTCCTGCCTTGCTTTTAGCTACGAGTAATCGGTGAGCTTGAAATAACAGCCTAACCCTTCCGATTACATCAGGGATAACTTGGCAGCGGCGCTTCTGTCCCAACTGTTGTTATCCCCTCACTCCTTGGCACCTAACCAGAGCAGCGGTTGACCAAGGGTCGATGCTCCAGCTCTGTCGAAGCCTTTTCTTACGAGATTTGTTTAGCGCCACATAGTCCCACAGTTAGTCGGCGACCTATGACGAAGCAAATAGCAGTTTCATTCCCCAATGCAGGTAACCATACTCCGCTTCAAATTTTTATTAATTTGTTTATTTATTTCTTTTCTGCAACGCCCCGGAGGGCACTACTGTAAAGGGAGGGGGGTCACAAAATAAGTATGTCTATATTTGAACACACAATAGGTCATCAAGACACATAAGTTACACAAACTAATATATACAAGCTCACAAACGGATATAACGTATGTGCACACATAAATGAAACAAACTTGAAAAAAACAGTGAGTGCACAGGCAAGCTGTGGAAGTTGTTCATGATGCAGAATACCCGAGACTGTGGCAAACGCTGGGAAACTTGGTCGAAGAAAAACGACAGGTGAAAACCACGTCTCAAACTCAGCTACTGCGTTTATTTCCTTGAAGCCTTATATATCCACAACCTAATCAGCGATCACCGACGTTACAAGGTCAACCTTTGTTATACGATTCTACCAACACTGGTCTTCACCTCAATCGTAAATGGTGACCTCAATCCCAAACTGAAAACTTGGGACCTTGAACAAAACAAACACAACAAAACAAACACACTGACCCACTTCCTTTCCAGCCGGAGTTTGAAAGGGCTGTGCTTTATTTAAACGAGAACTGATATGACCTCTAACTGAAACCCTGCGTGATGTTGAACCCCTGTCTGCCCTGCCTGCCCGCGGGCAGGGGTTCAGTGGGTAGGATTGTATAACAAAGGTTGACTTTGTGACGTCGGTGGCCGGTGATTAGGTTGTGGATATATAAGACATTGAGGAAATAAACGCAGTAGCGGAGTTTGAGAAGTTCTTTTTCCCTGTCTTTTTACTTCGACGGAGTTTCCCAGCTTTTACCACAGTCTCGGATATTCTGCATCAGAAACAAACTTGGTTCGCATGGAAAAGAATGCTAATGTGTTGATAAAATATTTGTAATAAACTATTCAAACGCAATGCTAGATTTGTAAAAAGAAACAAATCTGCATTTTCCAATGCCACAATCTCTCTCGGCAAGCTATTTCATTATTTTATTGTTCGCAGAAGAAAAAAATTATTGCGAAACCACTTTGAGGTGTATTCCCCAACTTTCTTGTCGTGATGTAATCTGCACGATCCTGAAATGGCTCAAACAGATAACGTCATTTTTCTTTTTTAAACAAACCATAAATAGTGCCGTGAAAAAATTCTAGACGTAAATATTTACGTCTAACAGCAGGGGGTTTCCGCTGCAGATTATGTTTTATTTTGGAGACACGACTGTGAAAGTTGTAGTAATTTGTCATAAATCTAGCAGCACGGTTTTGAATTATTTCAATTTAATCGATAAGATATTGTTTGGATGGGTCGCATACAACGCAAGCATGGTCAAGAATGGGCTTCCCACAAGAAGAAAAGAGAGTCTGTTTTAGGGATGGTGGAGCGCACGAGAAGCTTCTCCGTAGAAGACCCAATGTTCTACTAGCTTTCCTTGTTACGTAGTTTACGTCTGAAAGCGCTCTCAAATCACAAAAAAAAAAAGAGTACCCCCCCCCCCCCTTATTTAGCTTCTTTTTTAACATTTACAATTTCTTCGTGTACGGTGAATGTTGACTGGCAAATGTTACGTTTCTTTGTGAACCGTACATGACAACACTTTGGGAGGTTTAAAGTCACTTCCCATCTTGAACATCATAAACAAATTCTATGTAAATCACTTTGAAGAGCTGATACGTCAGAGTCCGCATTAATTTCACTATACGAAATACAGTCGTCAGCGTCTAGTCTCATTCGCGATATAATTCTCTGAGTTATGTCAATTCCAAAGATAAACAAGGGGACTGGCCCCATGCAGCACGGAACCCTGTGGTACTCAAGAAGTTATGTCAACTGGTGGTGACTTTACCCCATTCACAACCACATATTGTTTACGATCGCCCCAATAGTTAGCAATCCAGCAGTACATGCTACTATCGATATTTATCCTTTTAGCACTTCTAGAATAGAACCGTGCGGAATCGTATCAAAGGCATTTCGAAAGTCCAAGTAAAATTAAATCGACTTGCTTCCTACTATCCGGGTTCCGGGGGAAACGTCCCCGGAAATAAAGTCACCGGAAAAAAGTCCCCGGAAAATATGTTTCCGGAAAATATGTCCCCGGAAAAAAGGCCCCAGGTGGAAAGCAGGAAAAAATGTTCCCGAAGGGACATTTTTTCCACTTCCGTACGATCCGTTTTTGACTTTTGCGTATGATTCTAGAGCCTGCCGTTTTATTCCTGATTTTGTAACATTGCATCTCAACTGTTTTTGTTTGTTTTTCATTGTGAAATAAACATTTATAACACTTCTATTCAAAACCAAATTATTGTGTTTGGGGAAATTTGAGAGGTGCTTGTGTACCATTTCCTAATAGGTAAAAAACGCGACACCTAATAAAAACGAAAGGGCAGTTGTCATCAAAGTTAATATAGGAACTGAAAGTGCACATTTCGGGATATAATGCGGATGATAAAATTTCGTTTCCACTAATACTCTTTCTAAGTAAAATGTGAAAATGCGCCGATGCCGTGTTCGCGCTAACAGTGTCGCGATGCGTACCTCGCGGAATCGTATATTTCCCTATTTGTAGGGGCCGTTTTTTTTTTCTCCTACTTGCCACACGGTACCTGTCTTCCAAGGACATATGATTGGACCGCCCGAAGGCCATGAGGATCAAGGAAACCCAGAGTTAGAAAATCCTTTGGGACATCTTTTTCCTACCTTTTTTTTTCGGGAACATTTTGTCCGGGGACATTTTTTCCTACACCCTTACTATCCACCGATTGAACTAAGTCATGGGCAAATTTAGTTAGTTGAGTGTCACAATAGAACAGAGCCCGAAGAACACGCTGTGAAGGGGTAAAAAAAATGATTGGTATTCAAGTACGAAATGAGATTACTGTAAATGATGTGCTTCACTATCTCGCATGAAGCGCTCGTCAGCGATATTGGACTGTAGCTCTCAACACTGTTCCTGGCTCTAGATTTGTGTACTAGTACAACATCTGCATGCTTCCAGTCATGAGGCAATGAACCACTCTGCAGTGACCTGGTAAAAATAATGGAAAGAGAGCAACTATATGTGTCAGCATATGATTTGAGAACATGGTTCGGAATACAGTCGGGTCCCCTTTTCCACTTTAACGTTATTTAGTAATGTAAGAATTCCATTGTGATTTATTAGAATCTCTGGCATTTGTTCGAAATTACCCTCATTTACATATCTGAAGTCATCAGAAGAAGAAGGTAAGGGCAGGAGGAGAAAACAGAGAGGTTAACCAAGGCGGCCTGCCTCGGTTGGCTACTCTGAGTTGGGGAAGGGGATAAAAGAAGGAGGAAAGAAAAAGTAGAGGAGGATTAAGGTAACACACTAGCACTCACGTTAACACTGTGAGGCCAGAATCAATAATTAAGTAAATACCGCAGTTTCCAATATGACAATAAAAACTAAGAGACTGAAAGTGCGTGCTGGATTGTCACCAATGTTCACCCAAAACACTCGAGTTTTTGTACGCGCCAGCGCGAAGTCCAGTTGCGCACGTGTACACTTACAGGAATTATAAAATGGATAGCCCTCTATACGACAACAAATAATGAACACTAGATAAGTTTTTACAAACAGAACTCGAGGCGAGTTGCTGATAAAAATCGCAGAAGGGCTTTTGCGGCCTTCTCCTCTTTAAGTGGTGAGTCCCAGGCCCCTAGTATTTTGGACGTAGTAAATGGCCGGTCATCTAGCTGTGAAAGAATCCTTTTTAGGAGTTCTCTTTCTGCATCGTAAAGTGCACATTCACATAATAAATGAGATATAGTTTCCACACAATCACATTCTGGACAGTTCGGAGTGTGTGTTTTTCCGATTCGGTGCAGAAATTCCTGTGTGTAGGAAACGCCCAGACGTAATCGGTGTATAACAGCTTCTGTTCGCTTGGGTAAATTACGTGACACACGGTATGTTAGGTCAGGATCCAGTAGATATAGAGGAGGGTAATGGTGTGCAGAGCTCTTCCAGAGATTTTGTGTTGCATTTCGGGCTTGGAGATTTATCAATGAAGTGACGTCGCTTCTGGAGTAGGGTATTTCGACGTTGGGGAATAAGGTATGGGCGGAAGTCGCAGCACCATCCGCAGTTTCATTTCCAGGTATCTTGCAGTGTCCAGGAATCCACTGGAACTCGACAGAGTGTCTCCTATCAATACAATTCTGAAGATGGCATAAAAGTTTGAAAATAATTTGTCCATTTTCACTTCGTCGCGGATATGTGCGGATGCTTTGGAGTGCAGGCTTAGAATCTGTAAACACCGTCCATGCCTGAGGTGGTTTTGTCAATATAAATCGAAGGGCTTGATGAAGGCCTACAAGTTCAGCCGCTGTTGAAGATGTCTTGTGGCTAAGCTTGAATTTTCTTGTTGTGGCATACGATGGAATCACAATGCTTGCGGTAGAACTATTTTTGACACCTGATCCGTCCGTATATATGTGAGTTCTTGACGCGTGTAAACAGGCAATGGTGGATAAAGTGAGTTGTTTAAGTACTAGCAATGGTGTATTTGATTTCTTCTTGATGCCTTGAATGTCAAGTTCCACAACGGGGAGAGGGAGTCTCCATGGAGGTGTAGTTGGAGGATTAAACGAGTTTATATCATCAGAGATGTATTGCTCCATTTTTGATAGTGCCAGCGAATATTCTGAGTGAGGTCGCTTAAAAGTAAGATCAGCCAGAAAGTGATGACTATGATTAGTAGTATGTCTCAGATGAACTCTCAATGTTTCCTGCATCATTAGTATTTCTACAGGTGTGGCGCGTGCCTCGGCAACTGTGCCCAGAGTCGAGGCACAAGCTGGTAGGCCCAAACAGCCGCGGAGGCCACGTGCTTGAACTGCTTTGAGAGCTTTGATGTTGGTTTGACACGTGCCATGTAAAATGGGAGCGCTATATCGAAGTAAGCCGACAAATAAGGCCTTGCATATCTGTAATAGGAATCTTACTGTCGCGCCCCACGTGGTTCCACCGATGAAGCGGGCAAGAACACTAAAACTGGCAAGCTTTTTGCGCAAGTACAGAATATGAGGTGACCAGGTCAGACCCCTGTCGATGGTTACTCCAAGAAATGTGTGGCATTTAACGTACGGTATTGTTCGTTTGTCTATCTTAAGCGGGTATTTGTCCATTCTTGGGCGGGTGAAAGCAATAGCTGCTGATTTGTCAATGGAAATTTCGAGTCCACGGGTATTAAGATAAGTTGTCATTTTCTTTAGTGCAGACTGAACCCTTGCCTTTGCTTGAACTCGCGTAGATCCAGAAGCCCATATACAGATATCATCGGCGTAGAAAGATGCCTGGATGGTTGGGGGCAGTATTTTGGCAAGACGAATGAGAGCGATGTTAAATGATATAGGACTGAGGACGCGCCCCCTGAGGGACACCACGGGTCACCGGATATGAAGGCGTATTTCCTTCTTTTGTAGACATAAAAATTGATCTTCCTGTGAGGTAGCTCCTTATCCACCTATATAAGTGTCCCCCAATCCCAATTTCGCTGAGAGCCTGAAATATCGCTTCGTGAGTGACATTATCGAATGCTCCTTTGATGTCTAAGAAAGCCGCTATTGTGAATTTACGATGTCCTCGCTCCTGTTGTATGTAAGTTACAAGGTCAAGGACTCCATCGATAGAGCTCCTTCCTCGACGGAAGCCTTGCATGATTTCTGGATATATCCCTTGCTGTTCAAGATACCAATCTAGACGGCGGTGAATCATTTTTTCTATGATTTTTCCAATGCAACTCGCGAGCGCGACAGGACGGTACGAAGTTAATTGAAGTGGCGATTTGCCCGGTTTGAGAAGCGGCACAATCCTTGCCTCTTTCCACGAGCCAGGAACATTTTCATTGATCCATGAAGAGTTAAATATATTCAAAAGAAGCTTTCGCGCGTCCTTCCCCATATGTATCAAATAACTGTACTGTATGCCGTCAGGTCCCGGAGAGGTGTGAGGTTTCACTGAAGACAGTGCAGCATCGAGTTCGCTCATTGTGAAAAGGTCGTTCATAGCTTCTTCACGAAGTACTGGTTCGACTGTGATGCGAAATGGAGATTGGCTCGAAAGGTTTGTGTATGTTGTCAACAAAATGCAGTACTGGCTTGCCACCTCTTTCTCTGAACAATTTCTTGAAAGCGCCAGAGACCGGAATGGGTACAGTTGCGAAGGAGAAGATTTGAGACCTCGTGAGATCTTCCATATTTTACATAATGGCTTTCTGGGATCTATATTTTCCCAGAGCGTCCTCCAGAAACGTCGAGCTAGCTTCTTAAAATGACGACAGATTTTCTTTTGCACTCTGCGCAATTCGCGAAGATCTTTGATGTCTTTAGTTTTCCTGGATCGTCGTTCTGCCCTCCGACGTATAGCGCGGAGGCGCTCGTATTCTGCGTCAATTGTTTTTTGCGTGGACGGGACGTTAAAATCACGTGTTGCTTTTGCTGCACAGGATACAATGACCTTTTCAAAGTGAGATAGTTCAGTAACATTTTTGCATTCGTTCGTCATCGCTTCTTCGAACATATGCCAGTTCGTTCGTCGTAGGAAGTTTGTTTTTCGGACATTGGTGAACCCATTAATTATTGTGTATGTGGGTACGTGGTCACTACCACGAGTTTCAATGTCTGCAAACCATGTTGTTTGCGATGTTAGTGCTGCCGAAACAAATGTTAAAGGGGCGATGCAACGGTGTTTGTATTTTGCGCAAATACCACTTAAAACGGACCCCTGACGTTAATGACTTGTGAAATACCCTTTCGTTTTTCACCACACGCAATCGAAGTCGCAGCAAAAAAAATTAGGTAAAACAAGCAGAGTTTACCCTCTCAACTCGCAGCCAGAATAAGCGGCCAAGTGATATGGAGCCGATTATATGCCGCCAATGTTGATCATAGCCATGCGCTGGGGTTGGCAAGGCACAGGACACGCGCTGCGTTCCAGACATTGTTATGGCTCGGCTGTTGTCGTCATTGCAGCGATTGGACAAAGGACACTACCCGAATGCTTCTCGAGCTATAGATAATCACGAGCCCAAGTCGAGGGCCCACGCAATGCTCGGGTCCAATATATGAGCCCCATTAAAATATCGTCACTGGGCGGTAGTGCTACCGCCCAGCTACGTCATCAGGTTTGGCGAAGGAGAGATTGAATGAAAACGATCGGTTTTGTCCTCAAAATTACAGCGCAACAAAGGAATTTCTTGGTCAGTGACGTTGCAAGCGAGTATCCTTGAGTTCCAATAGTTCCAGTAAGCTCGTGTAAAGTGAAAAACATTCCAATTGAATATCGTTGCACCGCCCCTTTAAGTCGAGGCAGCTGCTACCTTCCGTTCCGTAGAAATACGTCGGGGCTCCGTCATTAACGGTAGATAAATGGTAATCGTCGGCTAATTCTGCCAAGTGCCTTCCACGCAGGTTTCTCCGAATGCTCCCCCATATTGGATGATGGGCATTAAAATCACCTGTTAGAATAAATGGCGGTGGCATTGTATTTAGGATAGACTCCAAATGCTGCCTGTCAATTATAAGGTCTTTGGTGGTATATATGCTGCGATTATTGTGAACTTCATTTTCCCATTTGAAATCGTCGCACAAACATATTCGTTGGTCGGGTGGGTTGAAACGACGTGTGCGGTATATGTAAGATCTCTTCGAATGAACATTGTAACGCGACTTGCACTATTAGTGCATGATGAGTCAAATTTTTCGTACCGTGATAATTGAATGTCTTTAGGTAAGTTTGATTCACAGATTACAATGATGGGGAAGCTATATTTATAAACGAGTCGTCTGAAATCAGAAATTCGTGATCGCAAACCTCTTGCGTTCCATTGTATGATAGAGGCTTTCTTGTAATGTTCATCCATTGTACTGATGTACGCTATTTGCGATAGCGGTGATCGCTAATGGGAATATCAATCGCTCCATAGTAAGCAGAGCCTCTACTTCTGGAATGTTGTTTGCCCCAGGGTATTCTTGTATTATAGCTTTTAACGCCACAAATAACATGGGTAGGAGTACCTGCGCAAGATCTTTTTGTTTTCGTGGATGCTGTGACTGGTTTGACATTGGGTATGTTGCTTGTGTTCCAGCGGGAGGCGCTTGAGTTTTCCGAGATCGACGAGGTGCTGGTATGGGTGTTGGCATTGTCGACCACCCTGGACGCTCCTCCAAGGGAAGAAAGTCGTCCTCTTTTGTATTTCTTTGATCTTTTTGAACCTTGCGAGGACGCTTCAGGATCTCACTGTAAGTTTTCATTGTAGGTGCTCCTCCGTTGGGATGTTCTGGTCGTGCTTGGCGGCGAACAACTTGTGGATTTGGTGACGGAGCTCGACGCCTTGTTTGCCTTCCGTTGATGATAGAGCGTTGTTTCGCAGCAGTGGCGGCCTTTTTTCGTGGACATCCGGAATATGTGGATGTATGGTTACCGCTGCAGTTGGCACATTTTGGTTCTTTTCTGGAGCTACACTCCTTGTGGTTGTGTGGTCCTGCACACACCTTGCAACGACGCTCTCCTCTACAGTTCCTGGCGAGATGTCCATATCTTTGGCAATTGAAGCACTGAACTGCCTGTCCAAAGTATTCTTCAACGGGATGGCTTGTGAATCCGAGGTAGATGCGCTGAGGCATGGCTCGGTCCGTCCGAAATGTGAGGACGACTGTAGTTGAAGGGTGTTGTTCCACAATTCCGCCGTCCTGGCGTCGGTAGGCCACTTGACGTTGAACAGACGTGACTCCAAAGTCTTTTAAATAATCCAAGAGCTCATCGTTGCTGTATTCGAGCGGCACATGTTTTACTTTTCCATAGTTCCTGGAATATGCCTCCGGAATATGAACAGTTACCTGAATCTCTCCGAGAGAGGTGACTGCGAGAAGCTTGTTTGCCGAGTCCAGGGATGAAACATTTACGGAAAGATTGCCTTCTTTGTTGATTTTGTGCGAGACAATCTTTTCTTGTGTGACCGCTATGATCTCGTTGGCAAGCACGTTTGGGTTTACACGCCAGAAGGACGTGTTTGGTGTTGTCGGCTTGAAGACTACGGGAATTCCTGTTGCCCGGTTTTTTCGGTATGTCACGACTTTGTACGGTTCGTCATTGTCGGTCTCATCGGTTATGTCCCTCAATGAATATAATGAGGTGTTATCCTCGCCTTGGTCCCTCTCGACATTGGCGGTAC